AAGATGCCATCATGGCTTTCAATTCATTCAACCACTGTGCTGATCGATCATAATCTCTTTTTTTCCCCTTGATTTCTGCAGTTGCTCTCTTCTTTGTGCATGTAAATGGAAAAAGTTTGTGTAAGATCGTTCGAAGCTTTCACACAACAAGCCCGTCTAGCTCAGTTGGTAGAGCGCAAGGCTCTTAACCTTGTGGTCGTGGGTTCGAGCCCCACGGTGGGCGCATGTTCTGATTTGTTATTTTTTTTATTCTGCCTGCTATAAGAAATTCGGTACTGATTTTAGCCCAACAAAATGCACCTTCTGATATTTTCATGTGTGCTGACTTGTTGACATGTCCAACAACGCAGAAAAAAAAGAAGGTAAATTTTCATTTCTCAAAATTCAGCCGGGAAAGAGAGGATCATATAACATACTCCCTCCGTCCGAAAATACTTGATACATCCCCTTTTGTCCATTTTGATGACAAGTATTTTCGGACGGAGGGAGTACTTGCATTACACGGTGAATTATATATTCTAATAATAACATACTTGCTTGTATCATCTGCTATCTACAACTTTTTCTTTTCTTTTGCGGGTAGTGTACAGTGGATTGTTGTCAAAGATCTACAAGTTGAAGCTTACTGGTCTAAGGGCAACTCCAACACGCCCACACAAACGCATGCGACTTTTGTCCGTTTGGGTTAGTGTTTTGGATTTTGTCCATCCCAGTCCGCGTTTCGGTTGGTAGTGTGCCCAACTCGCCAATAGATTTTCGTTCACGCAACCGGGCCATATTTTGCTCTTTTTGCGTACATATCAAAAACATTGCACAAAGTTCACACAATTCAACCAAATACAAATATTGTAGTTTCACAACAAATTGAAATCTCATAGTTTACAAACCAAATAAAATTTAAATTGTCAGAAATACATTTGAAAGAAAAAATAGCCGATACATCTATTGGTTGCCAAGGTGAGCCCACATATACTCAACTGAATCATCTTGTAGCTGAATGTGAGTTTACCAATCATGCATTTGATGATGAAATTCAGTGAATTGTGCAAACGTCGCCGCTCCTCCATGCTCAGCACAACATTTTCAGCTTAAAAGTGAAACTCCTGATTGAAGATTTCATTCTCACGCTCATCCTCTAAGATGATGTTGTGCATCATCACACAAGCAGTCATCACCTCCTACAACTTCTTAGTGATCCAAGTTCTAGCAGTACCGAACAATGCCCATCGAGATTGAAGAACACCGAAAGCACGCTCCACATCCTTTCTAGCACTCTCTTGTTCTTGGGAAAATCCCTGCTTCTTCTCTCCTATCGGGTTGGAGATTGTCTTGACAAGAGTAGTCCACTAAGATAGATACCATCATCTAGGTAGTATCCTTTGTTGCAGTGGTGGCCATTGATCTCAACACTGACCTCTGGGCAATTGCCTTTTGCAAGCCTTGCAAACACCAGAAGTGCTAAAGCACGTTGATGTCATTGTGAGAGCCTGCCATGCCGAAGAAAGATTGTCAAATCCAGATATCTTGTGAAGCCACGGCCTCAAGTATGACAATGCAAGCTTTCACATGGCCCTAGACTACCCTTGCCCAGTAGAAGGGCAGTTCTTCCACTCCCAGTGCATAAAATCTATGCTACCAAGCATCACCGGAAATCCCCTATCGGCATTGATCGCCAACAACCGGGTTGTATCTGCAATAATTGGCTCTCTCAAGTACTCCGGGCCAAATACTGCTACCATAGCCTTACAGGACCTATACATGGATTCTAGGCACGTGGACTCGCTCATGCGGACATACTCATCAACAAGATCACCTGATATTCCGTATGCAAGCATCTAAATAGCTGCAATGCATTTATGATAAGAGGAGAAGCCAACCTTTCCCTGGGCATCCTCCTTGCATTTGAAATACTTATCGTATGCCACCACCCTCTCCCTGTAAGACTCAACCCATGTCTAGCCATCAGGAAGAGGCATCAGAATAGGTTGTCTTTGAAGAGTGGGTCAGCGGACTGGAAGTAGTCCTGCCAGAGTAGGCAATGGCCTCTCTCTCCGTCACGATTCAAAGCCGGGGTATGCCCCAGGATCGATCCCCTATACATCGGTTGCTGCCTGCTAATGTGGTCATGGACGACCAAAGTAGCAACCACAATCTCCTTATTGCCAGACGATGAATCATCTGAATCGCCAAGGAAGTTGTTGAAAAAGTACTCATATCCACTATCCATTTTGTACATTGCGGACGAAATGTCGAACACCTTGCGAGCGTGGCGGAAGAAGCCGGCCAGTGAAGAGCCCCACGTCTCTTCCAGACCAGGCAGCAGGCATGTCGGTGTGGAGGCGATCATGGTGGCGACCGCCGAGCGAGGTAGCCGAGCTTGGAGCGTTGCTGGCAGCGGCAGAGCAGAGGGGGTGGCCTGGACGTGGTGGTGCTACGACGGCGGCAAAAACAGTCCACCAATGCCGGCAAGAACGGTCGTCGGGTGTGGCATGCTGCTGGGGAGGTATGTGGGTTCAGGCAGCTGCCTGGCGAGCGTACAATTGAAATTGGGCGGCGGCGGTCAGCGCGGGGTGGTTGGGTGTGTTGGATGTTGATGGGAGAGAAGGGGAAATGGACAATGTGCCACCGACTGGCGGGCTAGGGGGAGGACAAGAGTGGGCGTCGCGCGCGTCCGCGTCGACGCAAACCCAGCTCAAATATGGGCCTGAAATGCGGACACTCCCGTTTGCCTCGGCGCCTTGGGCCACGGTATCTGTCCATTTCGACTCAACGGATACGCGTGGACAGTTTGCGCCGGCACATTGGAGTTGCCCTAACGATACATCTTACTTGTTGTTTATGTATGGCAACAGGCATGGCAGGGGGAATCGTACTGGTGCTGGTGCCGGTCACCCCACCATCTTAAGCAAAAAAAAAAAAAACACCTGCAAACCTCAGTGATCGTTACATCGGTGCTGCCTGCTGGGATCTTCTTCTTCTTCGTGGTCGTCGTCTCTGCCCCCTCTTTGGCGGCCACACACCATGCCTGCAGAGTGTAGACTGTGGTGCACGAATGTCGTCGATGTCGATGTCAGCGCCGTCGACGGTCCCGACCTCCGTCACGTCCGGCTTAACGCAACAAGACTCCTGCTGTACACCGTGCGGTGTCTCCCTTCCTGTTTTGTCTTCAAACAAGTACTCCATCCGTTCCATAATGTAAAACGTTTTTTGACACTACACTAGTGTTAAAAAACGTCTTGCATTATGGGACGGAGGGAGTAGTAACCTTTTTCAGTCTCCATTGTTTCAGTAAAATATTTTCAAAGTATGACGATTTGGCCCGTTAAAAAAAAGAATTTTTACGTCGCACGTTGAGGAAAAAAACTCGCTTCGTGTGACATAGTCGAGTCCACTGCCAACAATCCGAAAAAAAGTTAAATACACTATTTATGAAATAATTTACGAAATTCCAAAAATATTATTTTGAAAATGTGACACAATTTTGAAAATACGAAACATTTTTCAAAGCATGTGAAAAAATGTTGGAATTCTGAACATTTTTTGTGCAAAAAATAGAAAACAGGAACATTTTTTTAACTTTTGAACAATTCTAGAAATGTACAGACATTTTTTAAACCTCACGAATTCTTGTTGTGTTATAGTGGGCCGGCCCAAATTCTTGTCCGCGAGAGTAACTGGTAATCCCGGCCGGGATTGTATTATTCCCGGTGTGCCAAACAGGTATAAGGTCCAAAATAGACCGGGATTACAAGTTCAGAGTGCCAATTCCCGGGATTCAAAGTTTAGGGTTTGATTTAGCTTTCGTCGACAACTTTAAGGTTTATTTTGGACTTTTTCCCTGTAACATAAGTACATCGAATAAGTCTGTTTCGGTTGACGACGTGACGGTCGATCGGTAGCACGCAAAGTTTTCAACATATAATGCGCGGAGAGAATGCTGGCTAGCTAGTTTGCTTCAGGCACGACCCACGTCCGGTGTGTATGCGTCGGTACGTACGTGGTCGGGCCCAACTGCACTGCACGTACGCAGTTGTTTGCACGGTCCAATGAGAGACGTACGCACAGGACGCATGCATGCGGGACTTTGGTGCAACCATGCATGCATGCAGAGCAGTCGCCGCCGCGCGCGTGCGTTGCGGGGACATGTGGGCCCGGTGTAACACATCCGGGTCGCACCGCAACCACCCTCACCTGACGGGGGCCTCGGCGTGCATGCATATACGAACAAAAAACATGTTTGGTTATTTTTTTAAAACGTGTTTTTTTAACACAGTACAACCGAAGTCGCTCACACATAGGAGCATACTCACACTGTTCCTTTTTTTAATCATGTGTACATTTCTTATAGGGTTTAGTACATCTGCAATACTGTCCTTGCCCATAAGACATGTACGTAAAACACAGTCTACTATATTAATTCTTTCATCTTAATTTTGCCTGCTGGTATTTTTACAATACTTGTGGAGCTAATGAAACTATTTTGGTAAAATTCAATGCTCGAAATGGAGGAAATGAAGGGGCCAGACGGGCCGATACCTCGTGGGAGGGCCCAACACGAGGAAAGGAAGGAGACACAAAGGTGAAAAGGGAAAAAGGGAAGACGGAAAGAGTAACGGCGAGGACGGTCCTTTCTTTCTTCATAGGACTAGGAAGGATCCCCGGCCAGGCAACCAGCATCTTCTCATAATCCCATTCCCTTTTTAATTAATTAATTAATTAATTAATCTATAATAACTTTCATCATGCGATTTCGTGTTTCTCATCCAAGCACAGGTGATAATAGGCAGGCGTGATGGCACATTCCATATGTTCCCATTCGGGAATGGAAACACGGGCGCCGTGTATGGAAGGGAGCAAAACCACATTGACTCCTTGGCCTCCCTTCCTATACAAAAATCTCCCTCTCCCTACGGCTTCCTTCTTATTTCATCACCGTGTCTTCTTCTTCTTTTGCCATCCCAATCCCAAAGGAAGGGAGGAGACGAGAGGAGAGATCAACAATGGCCATGGACCAAGAGCTGCCGCTCGGGCTCGGCGACTTCTCCATCGCCATGGACGCCTCCTCCCTCGCCGCCCTCTGGCCCCCGACGCCGCTCCTCCCGCCGGATCTCCAATCTGCTTACCAAGACCAAGAGGTTCGCCGGCCATCTTAAATCTTCTCCCGCCTTCTTCCTCCCTGCCTCTCTCTCAAGTCTTGACTGAGAAACTGCGCCCTGCCGATTTTCTTCTTCGAATCCAGACGTTTACATAGGTTGTTGATTGAAACTGTAATGAGATCCTCCATAGATCTTGAGCAGACGTTGAAGCCCTTTCCGTTGCGTGAGATCGTGCATTGCTGCTCCTTTGGCTTAATCTTTGTCGCTGTGGCGTGGCATGCAGAGCTCTTCGTCGCCGTGGCGTGGCATGCAGATCGTGGAGGAGGCGAGGCGGAGGCTGGCCGCGGCCACAGCAGAGCTGGAGGCGGCCAAGGAGGAGGTGCGCCGCAAGGAGCAGAGCATCGCCGCCCTGCTGGAGCTCGTGCGCCGCATGGCCGACGAGCGCGACCAGCTCCAGCACCAGGTCCGGCAGCACCTGCTGCTGGCCCGCGAGCTGGCGGCCGCGACGACGTCCAGCAGCAGCGACTCAGGCGCGAGCTTCCCGACCTTCTCCCCGACGGCCGCCAACCCCTCCACCTTGCTCAAGGCCAGCGCCGCCGTTGAGGACAGGAGCGCACCAGTTGCTATCGACGACGACAGGACCGCGGCGGTGCTCGAGCAGCTGGCGGCCAAGAGGCCGCTGCCACAGCAGGGGCAGCTGCTGCAGGCGGTCATGGAGGCAGGGCCTCTCCTGGAGAACCTGCTGGTGGCAGGGCCAGTGCCGCAGTGGCGCGACCCGCCGCCGGTGCAGCCGATCCCCAGCCCCGTCATATCGGCGCCTTCAGGCTCTCGTGCTCCCATGGGCTGGGGCCATGGTAGCAGCTCTTCTCTCTTTTTTTCTACTCATCAACGATACTAGGAATTCATGTATTTTCAGACTTATCTCAGGCGGAAAGCAAGGTGCCATCTACTATGAAAAGTTTTGTAATCTTTGTAGACTGAACTTTTCCTGAATTGATTGAACATACAGAAGAAACGAAAAGAAAAGAAACAGTTTCTTCAAACCCATATATATGATGTAATCTGGACTCCATGGGGAATTAGGAGGTTACAGGCCGCAGAAATGAGAAATGGCACCCGATCGCATCGACAAGATGCACCGGAAAAACCAATTATTGGCTTGAACTTTGTCTTGAACAACGATCATCATGAATAAAAAGGACCACATTTGCGATAATGTTACAGAGACAAACCTCATACATCTCCCCAACAGTGATGGTATTGCCTGTGTCGGTATGATAAGTACATGAATCATGAAAACATTCGACGGAAGAGGCAAAAAAGAAAAGTACATGAATTTACATACAAGACAAAATATCACCAGGCAATGGTGCTTTCTCCGTATATGAACACTCTGTCCTCTAAATCCCTGATCCACTGGCATACTCTGTTGCATATCTTGATCGCTTGGGTCTGCAAAATGCGTGTACTCAAAGTAAGATCCATCAGGTTATTACACGGTGATAGATGATGGGATTGATAGTATTGCTGAACTGTTTGTGGCAGATGCTAACCTTGTCGGCCAGCGGACTGAAGGCTGCATACAGCTCAAAATCCTGGGTTATCCAGCTCAACATAACTGCAACAAAAGGGAAATTATGTAACAAAGTAACTGCGGCACACATAGGGAAATAGGAAATAGCATCACACTTCAGCTAGTAAAATTCAAGAAAATTCACGACTAAGGTACTCCTAGGACATCAATGCCACAGAACCACTACTGCAGCAAGCAATAACAGCTAGGCAGTTTATATGCCTATGGGTACGTGTCCATTAGCAGAATGGATGGTACTACTGAATGGTTTTAGGTCTTTGAATTAAGTGGTATCAATTCAATGTAAAGTAGAACATCATACTGCACATGTAACTGTATTTGTAAACATTCGAAGATACAGGACATTAGTTCCCTGCATACTATATGCCCTCATGGTTTCAGAACAGTGCTTCGTTAAATAGCTTTGCTTGCACAAGCTGAGATCGCACAATTGCGTCATGTGAATGAGAAAAATCTGTGTGGGTCTTAGAATCATGTAGCAACTAGAATGAAAGGTGATAGTTCCATCTCTCTCGAAGGTTGAACATGTCATCGAATGGCCACAAATTTCGTCCCTATAACAGGGTCTAGATACAACCATAGAAGTCAAATTAAAATCTTATATACTGTAGTTTCTAGTTCAAATATACCCCCAGACACTAACATATACCACAGAGTTATGGACATGAGTGGAGCTTGATCAAATCTGTCTTTATTATTCTGCAAATTCAGTTTATACATCCCTTTGTCTCCAGACAAATGATTTGGTGTGATGATATCTAGATCCCAATGGAATATTATTAGTGGCTAATTGCCTATGAGAGCAGCAAAATACACTAAGAACGATCTGCATATTTCTATAGTTGCTACCTACACATCATAGAATAAGAACTATAACTCGGGGAATAGACTAACAGAAACAATCCAATCAAAAATTCTAAACACAAGGGAGTAAGTTGTGGAGTGCCTGTGTAACTCACCATAATCCTCAGTTCTTCTGAATTGAGTTTTGTGCGGACCAGTTGCTTTATCATGCATGGAAGCATAAACCTTTTGATAAGCCTTGTACAATCTGCACATATCAGGTTTTCTCTCAAAGACAGTTCACTAATGCAGAAGTAAATAATGCCAATATTTATCACCAATATTCAATACCTCTTCTGTTGCTTGGGATTTCTTATGGGCAAGGCAAACTCAGACGATACGTACTGATCAAGATAGACGCTTTTGTATATAAAATGCCAAAGTCCAGCTGGTCCACCAATTGCCTCATCAGAAGACAACGGTTGAGAATTTAGGCCTTGAGAAGACTGTGCAGGAGCTGATGTAGATTGAGAAGTAGGATCAATGGGGACATCTTCAACACGCAGTACATTCTCATGCAAAGACCTTTGGACTTCGAGAAGGACATTGGATTTCAATAGAACATCCTGAATGCGGGCCCTAGACATCGTTGACAAAAGAGTAGTTGTCTCAGCTCCAATACATATTAGGCAGCATTCACTCATTATCTTGTGATACTTTAAGTAAGTCTTACACAGTTTAATGTGTACCTCACCTTGAATCTTTCAAATCAAAGAAGGCATCTGATCTCGGAGTAAGAAGAGTCAAGTAAGTATTTTCCTGCCATGGAGAAAAGATTAGTTCATATAATAAAATGACTCTCTCAAACCTAAACTAATAAATAAAATTTGATCAACACTGCATATAAACTTCTATAAGTTTCCATCTGTGCCGTAAGACATGCATCATAATTCTCATAATGAGGATATTGCCGGTACACTTAAGTGAACATGCATATTCAGATGCACCTATTTTACTCACATCAAAAAAATGAACATAAGCGTATAGGAAGGCCATAGGATTGTATCTTGGCAAGCATATGGGTGAAAAAGACTCCGAAGTCCTGCGTTAAACAGAAAAATATTGTGAGATGCTTGTAGGTCAAGGTTTTCCATTTCAGATAGCATGCGATGATTACCTAAAAGATTCGGAGGACAATATGAAATTTGCAAGTAGTAATATATCATCAGGATGCAAAGTTGCCTTTTGTGCTCCCACGAGACTAATAACCTGAAAATTAACCAAGATCATAGCTCTCAGAAACATGAACGCAGAGGACTAGCAAAAATAAAAGATTATGTATCCATCTCCATAGACTTGCAAAGTTGCAATCATAAGTGTATTACTCCCTCCGTCCCAAAATAAGTGTCTCAACTTTGTACTAGCTCTAGTACAAATTTGTACTAAGCTCAAGATACTTATTTTGGGACGGAGGGAGTATTTGGCAATGGCCAAAGTTCTGTGTCTCGTGATGGGATGGCAGACGCAATTGGCTAGAAGCACATAATAACTAACATTAGCATGAGCATGAGCAAGGAGCAATCCATATTGGTATTGGTACCGTTTGTCAAGCTACAGAACACAGAAGTCATTGAGTCTACTAAAGAGATCGAAAACATCTGATACCAAAGAACAAAATGACAATATTTCTACAGAATTCTCAGAAATGTGGCATATCACTTTGGATATGGTGAAAGACATAACTGATTGACTGACAATAAAGTAAGATTTATGATACTGTTCTATGAACCTTTAGAAAGGTCAAGTGGCATCTAAAATGTATTGAGGAGTAACTATAATAAGAAATGTGTTACATTTTAGCACATAAGCAGGATTCCAGCACAGTTTGATTAAAGGGTCAATGAACTAAGTAGCACAATGGAAGTTCTGGCAGGAAACTGGACAAACTTGAAATTAACAAACAATGTAGCTCTCACAAAGACAAAAAGAGGACTAAAGAAAATAAATGATTTACGTTAAATGTCTCCAAACACTAGCAACCACAAGTAGAATATTTGATATGGATAAAGTTTGGTGCCTTGTGATGGGATGCCAGAAGCCCACAATAACAAATAGTAGAACTAGAAGGAGCAATCTAAATGGTACTGGCACCCTTTGGCAAGCTACAGATCACATAAAACCATAGACTGTTCGAGAAGGGCCATTAACTCTACAAAAAGATCAAAGATTCTAATACGGTGATACCAAAGAACACAAATGGCAAGCTTTCTACAGAAGTTCTCAGAAATGTGGAATCCCACTTTGGATATGGTAAAAGACGTAACTGACTGACAGACTGACGATAAAGTAAGTTTTATACCCATGTTATATGAAGCTCTAGAAAGTTCAAGTGGAACCTAAAGAGTTTTCAGAAGTAACTATAATGGGAAAAATGTTACATCTTACCAAATAAGCATGACTTTAGTACAGTAAGATGAAAATGTCAAATGGGGTTAGTATGAAAATGGAAGTCATGGCAGCAAATTGGACAAACCTTGTGATCACACATCAACAGTGCAAACAGAACTCCCGAATCAGCAATGTCCTGCAAAACTGTGCTAGCAGCCTGTCTTGTTGCTTGGGCAAGGGGAAGGCATGTGTATGCATGAAGAAATGTAGCGGGATTCCTGTAGAATGGTTCAATATGATTTCAATTAAGTACTATAGTCCAAAATGTATTAAGATGGGATCCGCAGAAAGGAAAAGGAAACAAGCTAACCAGCTGAATGCACGTATAAGAGATAGGAAAACCGCATCTGTGCCACCTAGAAGTGGTGCCATATCAAATTTGGGATTCTTCTCAAAGCACCTGTTGACCGACTTTGTCAAAATAAGCAGCATCTGCAAATTTGTGTTTTCAGACAGAGAAATCAGCATAAGAATGGAAATGCAAGAATGGAAACGCAAGACTGTATAATAATTACAATAAAAATACAAGAAATTCAAATGTGTTAAGATGAATGCAACAGTGGAAGCACCTGACCATACATGAGCTCTAGTTGGCCCCTCAATCCTTCAAACGTCTCTTCAGTGCAACTTATACAAACTAAATATATGGGACCTTTGACAAGGAAAACTATCTGAAAGAACAGTGTAAAATCAACTTAGAATACATAAAAGGGTCTTCCGGTGAAATGCCCATGTTAGTGGTGTCTGATTGTTCAGGCGCATGCATTGTCCTGAAGTAAGATTACAAGAACAGAGTAAATTTTGGACATGGAAGGCCATCTGACCTGATGTTTTCCAGCTCTCACAAATTTGATATGATCACCACTGGATAAGAAGGAAAAAACACCAAAAAGAAAATTCAGTACAGCCCAAAGGAAAGGGTTAAGGACACTAATCATTGCAATCAGCAAAAGCGGAAAGGCATACCTGTTCTCGACAAAAGAAACAATCGCTTGCAGTGTAGCAGAAAACCCAGCTAACCTGTGCTCATCTCCATACCTAGAAGTTGAACCAGACGAAGGAGATGTGATGTT